CACCCCCACCCGCTTGCAGCAGTTCAACGGCGGACCGAGTCGTGAGAACAGGGAACGAAAATAGTCGGTGGATAATAACACATATGTAAACATATGAAACGTTTGCAAACAAATTGCCAAGCTCGGCGAACAGGCGGAATGGAATATTGAGTTTATGCCCGAGGGCCACTGATCACAACATTCAGTATCTTTAACACGGTGGATCACACTGATCCCGATATCCCCAGCCTTGAAACCTAACCTGGCACATTTTCTCGGATTAAACACTTTAACAAAATTATAGCCGAAATTTGTTTAGCTCCTATCAGCATCGTGCCAAATTCGATCAATCTACGTTTTTTTCAATGGGGTTAATAGCATTTCGCTCTCACCTCATTTTTCGACCATTTCTTGCAAGCGTTCACCGTTGGTGAGCTTATGTCTTGCCCCCTACCGAAAGTCAATCTGCTATGTCGCACCCCTGAGAAGTCACATTTTCTAATATCTTCCCACTTTTTGGAATACCTCAACCAACCGTATGCGTAATAACGTAGTTTCTGACTTTGCAATGTCGCACCCCTCAATATCGTAGTTCCTGATACTTACTCACTTGGTTGCTGACCGGTGTTCGGGACGACCATTGAACATCCACTCTGAATATCGTACTCAGCCAGTGGCGTTTCACCTAGTGTGACGAAAACATGACACTGTTCACTGATTGGATAATCTTTGTGAGGAAGAGACACCGATGTCAACAATCGAGAACAGTGTGTAAGCCCTATCAGAGTTGTTTGGGAATGCTGTATGAGACAGGTGTAATTCAAAGACCCGTAACCGAATAACTTGGCATTTCAAGAAAAAACTGTTTACAGTGTTATATCCCATCGAACCACTATCGGGTAATTTGAGAACACGGGAGCATCGCAGGAAAGATGTCAACTGAAAACCTACGAAAATGTCAGGACAATGAATGAGGTAACCTTTATTTGGTCTACTTTTATGGGGGAAAAGCACAGAGCTCCCCATGGAGGAGAGTGTCATTTGTTAGAAGGTAATCCAACTGGCACAAAGAATGGATCATCGTGACTTCAAGTCTTCCAAAATTTGGTTTCCCTCCTGGTCATAAAGATGTGGTATTCAGTCATACAAAGTAGGAGACAAGCAACTCATATGCATTACTTTGTAGGTTCGTAGGGAAAGTTTGGAAATGCCACGTGATGCAGTGGATTAGTTTCGAGCAGGGTTACCGCAGTTGATCCATGGATATGCTGACTATGATATTTTCAATACAGATGAAACAGCTTTGTATTACAGGTAGCTCCCAACGAGAGCATCAAGTCTCAAAGGAAAAACAGTTTCTGGATCGAATAAATCTAAAGAAAGGGTCACATTACTGCTGTGTGGGAGCACAAATGGAGAAACGTTATCACCGCTGGTTATTGAAAAATTTCAAACTGCACAATGTCTCCAGGATATAGATAGAAAAGCTCTCCCTGCAGTCATAATTCCGATGGTTGACTTCTGCGTGATCTCGCAGTAGTAGACTGTCCCATGTCAACCTCAAGATGGTTTTTCAAAGACGCTCTATTTTACTATGTGTAGTTAGCGCCCCTCCCTTGCCATAACAAAGCCGCGGTGTTCTCTAATGTCAAATTAGTACGGCTGCTTCCTAACTGTTCTTCAATGTTGCAACCAGTGGATCAGGATGAGATTTGGTCTTTCAAATCTTCGTTTAGAAAAAAATTAGTGGCATATATTTTACCTTTCATTAAAAATGAGCAACTTAGCATGGAATCCGGAGTGAACATCCTCACGGACATGCATCTGGTCAAGAAAGCTTAGGTGTTCATGTATCTGCTCTTACTGATCAACGCTTTCTCACATTGAATCAGCTGTTGATACAGCCACCAGAGGATAACTGCGATCTGGTTGGAGACTTTACTCACTGTCTATTGATGAACGTCTTTTTGAAAAAGAAATAGCCTTGTTTCGAATCAAAGATTTTTCCCCGCCATTCTTTGGAGCATCCTAATGTGGTCATTTTTGTTGCAGTGGTCACCAAAGCCACGACCGTCCGCTCTATCGATGGGCTCTGTCGCACTATATATACGAGTGAAGGATAATCCCGATTGATTGGTGAGAGGGTGTGTGGAGTAAAGACGTCAGATGTCAGATCCAAGCGATCGACCGCCGTCCCGCGGACGCGCTTGTGTGAATGGGTGAACGCTAATCACACTTGCCCTTGCTAGAGCATCGATGAAATTAGACAGGTCATTGGTCAAAGTTTATCATAACCTGAGTCTGACACGCCCTTAACTGTTTGAGCGATGCACTTTAATTTTTGAATCACCTGTTGAACTTGATTCGTCTTTCATGTCTACTGACGCTGACCATAACGAATGTTTCAATGGGTCGGAACATCCACCAGCAACAACAAAAGTGAACGAACGAGTAGATGTCCATAGAGTTAGTGCTACACATTTTTCACCAGAAAATCATGAGTAGATTGCTCAGCGAGCAATCAGCTTGGAACGTGAAAAGTCAGTGTACATATCCTGTAACAGAAATTTCACTGGTTTTGGATGACGTGATTTCCTTCGAACGCGATTTTTGTTCCTTGTTCAACCTGGCTCATTCTTGTTTTCATCGAATGATTATAATAGTTAAAACAGTTGTGTATTATGGTCGACACTGTATACTCAATTCTGTGGTTAGCCTAACATTGCAAAGGAATGGAGAAATATCTAGAATTAATATGCGGTAATTGGGTTGCAATAAAGTCCCCTGAAATAGGTAGTTAGTTTCGGGATAACTCGATACATGAAACCTTAGACCACTGAAATTCTCCATTTTCTGTTCAACTCTACTTCCAACTTTTCTCTCTTCTATTCTTCATCCAAATGGGCAGCCAAAAAACAGCAATAAAAACTGGCGCACAAAAGTGCATGGTTAATGTTTGTGCAAACTAAAACTGAAATATGAAACTGGAAAAGGGCTGAATACCGAATGCAATGTACTAATTTCGAGCTGTAGGCATCATAAAAGATTTTATTTTCATTTTTCGATGCATAAAGGATATGCAGGACGGTATACCTAAATTCTGTTACAAATAAACGGTACATAATAATGAACATTGGAAAGAATAACGGAATTAGCATACTTTTCCTCGATCCGGTTTATTTTTTCACAAAACTCGCAGCCGATTTTAATAACATCTACTACTACTGACTAACATGCAGTATCGCAGTTCCTGGAATTAACTCTTTCGAAATCCCGAGGGGTGCACCATAACAGGAGATTGACTGTATATAGAGTTTGTATACGAGGTGGGAAAATTTTAAGTATCGTTTTTATCTCAGAAAATTAACTTGGAAGATGTGAAATCAAACTTCAGTTAGCCCTACTGTGCTTCATATTCTATGCCCTGTTTGGGTGACACTACATTGGGGACACGTTATCGCTCCGAAAGGGACGCTTACCTTTGCGATCCGAGTCTGTATCGAAAACTTATACCATATGAAAGTAGACCGTGTAATCTGGTAATCTTTTTCATCACCCGATTAAAGATATTGATCCACCATTTGTCATCCTCTCCACCTTGTTCTCGTTATTTGGTTTCCAGATGAACGATCCAAAGCGTTCTATATTCCGATGATTTTACCGACCGTGATCGACATGACTACGGTTCCGTTATCCAGTAAGTCTGTTTTCTCCACAGATTCTTATTTTTTCGCAATGTCTGCAGTCACGTTTTGCTCACGTCGCAAAAACAGTTCCTGTTTTGTATCTCCAACGTCTTTGTGCATTAATAATAATAGATAGTATCTCAATGACTCGAAAAATTTCCTTGGAAGCACACAACTGGTTTCGAGGTTCTTTCCGCTCGCTCGGCATGCATATCCGGTAATCTTTTGTCAGTGAATTCATATACTCAAACCCAGGAATTATATTTCAGGATTTTTTAAAGTTATGTTTCATACACATCTGAGTTCAGACTATGGCCCTGGCGTGTGTCAAGGACCGCAAAACCGGTCGTGTGCTTTCAAGGAAATTCTTTGAGTCATTTATATACTACTTATTGTAATATGTCGAACCCACCTAAAAAACATCGATTCATAGTATTGATTCGTAAATGGAAAGGTTCTGAAAGATTTGTCCAAACAAATGCACCTGGAGTTGCAGATGAGGTTATTTCACTG